GCCGCTGTCGGCTGGCAGTCAGGCAGTCAGTCGGGCAGTCAGGCAGGCAGACAGGTGACGGCCACAGTCAAGCTGCTGCCTCCTATGTGAAAAGAAGCGGTGACAAGAGGGACTGTGTATAACCGTGAAGGAGTCCGAGCACACCAAGATCACAGAGAGACAGAGACACACACTCCGAGTCCATCGCTTCTTTTAGCAGAGGCTCAGCGGACGCAGATATGGCGAACATCGCGGTGCAGCGAATCAAGCGCGAGTTCAAAGAAGTTCTCAAAAGCGAAGAGGTATTGCGGTGTATGTCTTTCTCCACCAGAACTCGTCTTTGGTTTTCTTTAAATTGAATGAAAGTGCAAAGTATCAGAATACATGTATTACCCTCGCTAACGTCCCGTAGATGAGCCGCGGCTGCCGGGGCCTCAGCAACAGAACTCCGACTGTACCGTTGGCTTGTTGTTGTTAGGCCCGAACTGGGCTGTTTATGTCGTGTGTCTGTTCAGGCAACAGCGAGGCTGCAGTCTGATAGGCCCAGGTTTCTCTAACCAGCAATAATGTCTCCTTCCTAGTACTAACGTCTTTAATTTAACCCACTCTCTACACTTATTTTCAGATTATATGTTGACACACAGGGAATGTCACCCCGTCTAACAGGTTTTGGTACGCCGGCGTTGTTTTTTTCCATGTCATCCACAGTTAGCATTAGCATGTTAGTTACCTTGTAACGCTCACAAACTTAGCACAAACTTATATCCAGATTCAGATTAAAATGCAGAATGTAGAGTCTTTTAGGTACCTATTTTCTGTGTTGTCTTGTTAACTTTTGCCGGAGTACCGTTTGTCATAATCCCTGTTGTATTTATCACTGTAATAATAAACAACGGTCTTGCATGAATAAATAAACGATACACTCTAGAAACCTCTTAGATATTGTACCTAATGAAGTCCCCGGTATAGTTTTATAGTGCAATAGCCTTTAAAGCTTTAAAATGCGTAAACTATTTAGGTTTTAAGCATATGTCATTTCGTTGTTGTTTTTTTGTCGTATTGTACTAGTCAGGTAGTTCTATTCTGGAAAATGTAATGAAAATAGCATTTATTTTTGCAACCTAAAGCTGCAAATAGCAGCTTCAGGTTATTTATGAACTACACGCATAGATATCAACAACAACAACAAAAATGCTATTATTGACAACTTTTCTTTGGTTTAAAACATGTTCTTGTAGGAACCCAAATGTCTATTCCCAGTATGCATTTATGTTTAACTCTGATGTGTCAGTTATAAATAGCCAAATCACTGTATCCTTCTTTTGTTGTCCCCACTTGTAGACAAGTAAAAATCAGATAAAAGTAGATTTGGTTGATGAGAACTTCACAGAACTGAGAGGAGAGATAGCAGGTCCACCAGATACACCATATGAAGGTAATGTCCAGCACTCACAGTTTGATGACTTAAGTATTTTCCATCAGATCAGAATTTTAAAGCTTCTTGTGATAAAATATTAACTTGTTCTTTGTTTCCAGGCGGCAGGTATCAGCTTGAAATAAAAATCCCAGAAACGTATCCCTTTAACCCACCAAAGGTATGTGAACCAGATGGTTTTTTTATCTGGGTCTCTGCTTAGGTTTTTGTATGTACTTGTTTTATGCCTATGCGTATTTGTTACCTGTCCATGTACACCGCTATCATGGCTGAACCCATTGCATTGGTTTTAAGATATATCGTGTTATAAACAGTGACATTTTTGTCTGACCAGTTTTAAAGAATCCATCCGTGTGTGTTGAAGTTCTCTGAGCAGAAATCTACAGAGAGTGGCAGGAACCTATTCTCATATCTGTCAGTACCTGTCTCATCATTCTTATGTAGAAAACCTTCCACATGTCTGCCTTAGGTTCGATTCATCACTAAGATCTGGCACCCAAACATCAGTTCTGTGACGGGAGCGATATGTCTGGATATTTTAAAAGATCAGTGGTGAGTGAGGCGCTCACAAACCCTCTAACCTTCAGTGCTCAGAGATGGAACCTTTACACTATGAAACTTCACATTATCTGTGCCATTGGTTCACCCTTGTCTCTCAGGGCAGCGGCCATGACACTGCGGACGGTGCTATTATCTCTACAGGCTCTCCTCGCTGCAGCTGAACCTGACGACCCACAGGATGCAGTAGTAGCCAATCAGGTGAGACAAACACTTGTGGTTATTTCCAACCAGTTCTTTCTGTATCTACAGGACAAATGGCGTCCGTGGTTCAAAAGGGTCCGAACATTTAAAATGTTCTTATTCTTCTCTTTTTCTTGGCATTCTCAGTATAAGCAGAATCCAGAAATGTTCAAACAGACTGCAACGCTTTGGTCTCATGTCTACGCTGGCGCTCCTGGCTCTAGTCTTGACTACACACGTAAAATAGACAAACTCTGTGCCATGGGCTTCGATAAGGTTTGTATATTTTACAGCATAAAGACTTGAGCATTGTATGAAAAAGTTATATTACGTTGGTTCCATTTTATAATGCAGGTAAAATAATGAGTGAATGCTAAGAAAACCATCCAGAAAATGAAATATAATTTTAAAATTAATTTGGTACCATGATTATTATTTTTTCACCCGTGTGAGTTCCTAGAGTTCCTTTTGAGCATTCAAATTATTATTTATATTCATTAATATATTTTTTTTCCTCATGCAGAATGCAGTAATAGCAGCATTGTCTTCAAAATCCTGGGACGTGGAAACGGCAACAGAGCTGCTCCTCAGCAACTGAGACGCAGCCCAGGTGTGAGGATCCCAAACCGACTCCCTCCATCACAGCATCAGCTCCTCACCACCACATTCCACCAAACTGCCTTCTGTTCACCACGGCAGTCCACTGAGCCTTGTCCAATAACAAGTCTGTTTGCTACAACCTCCACACCTGCAGCACCACAGGCTGCAGTATGCACAGCATAGAACTCTGACTACGGTTTGAGGCCCTGAAAAGTTTTTAACCCACCTGTCCAATAATGTTTAATGCCCTTTTATTGCATTGGCTCTGACACTTTTCTTCCCAGAAATTGCAGGAGTTTAACTGCAACACCGTTGCAAAAAACAAAGTCAAAAAACTGCCACCGCTCATCAAGTGTTAAAGGAATCATGTAAAAATCCTGCTCACTGCTCTCATAGAAAGTCAAGTTCCACTCTCTCAGCTAAAGGCTGGACCTTATATTTGCATTTTTTTCCTTTCAGACATTTATTTCTGTAAATGTCTTGCTGGACTTTGACACACTTGATTGATTCTTGTCCTGCATGAGCAGTGTCAGATTTTTGTTGTATCTCTCAAAACTTTTCGGAACGCTCCAGTTGTCTGGAGGAAGTTTGGATTTTCATACCTTTCCTTTTTTTTCTGCCAAAAGGTTCATCGGCATCCTGCGACGACTGGGCACATACACAGAGGGTCACTGTAAATAGATGCGTGTACATTTGAAAATACAATGGGGATATACTTTTTTCTTACATGGCACTGTACAAATTATTTTAAATATAAAAAAAAAACAATGCCTAGTTTACAGTTATACCGAAGAGATACCTTTTATGCTTTTGCACCATAGGAAACCCCTCTGACTGTTTTTCCCACTTATTTTCCCTTTTGAAATTGTTTAAAAACGGCACAGCCAAAAATACTGGCCTAAGCGGTTGAGGAGTATGCGGCCAGCTCAGGCCAACATGAGGTCGTCACGTCTCAGAATTGTTGCTGAACTACAATCCTAACCTTCTCACATGTCCTTCATTGTTCCTGCATGTCCTCCGCTGCCTTTAGGTTGTTCTGGTGAAGTTGGACAAACTCTTCTTACTGACAACAGAAAAGAAAACGTTTTTTTAGCAATTTTTTTTAGCAATTTGAAGGAAAGTTCTACTCTGATTTGAACAGATTTCATTTGGCATGCGTCGAGAATATTGGCGTGTCCGAACGGGTCAGTGTTTTTTTCTATTCTTTTATTTTCAAAAGTCAGTTTTGAAACATTAGCATCAATTAGGAGAGCATCTATCCTGGAGGGTATTTTCTTTAGTTTTTTTTAAATATTCAGCAGTCACTCCATCTAGTCTCAGGCCATGTATAAGGACTGTACAGTGTTAAAGAAAAGTCTACACACGTTTTTTGAAATGTAAATCCCTGACACCAAAATATTTAATTTCAGAGATTAATCTCCCTTAAAGGAGACCTCTGCGTCTTTACATTTACTTGAAAACAAACTGAAGTTGGTGGGAAATAAACCAAAATGAACAGCACATCTTGACTTTGCACTATGTACCCACTTCTCAACACGAGCTCCCCAAAATTTCAAAGTATCACAGTTCTCCACAGGTCACTGATCTTTGTTGGATTCAGAATTACAGGTTTGGTGTTATACCCATGAGAGGCAGAAAGAGCCTATAAATCATGTGATTGGTTATTTACAAACACATAATTGGTCAGAATACAAATGGAGATATTTAGATGAGTATTATCCTGTTGGCAGTTTTTAAAAGAAGTACCAAATATGTAGACTTTTTATATGCACTGCAAGCAGCTGACATCAGAAAATCCCAAGACATGACTTTACTGCAAAGCTCAACTACAATGTCTTGTTGAAGAGGCTGGAACTCCTGTTACTCTGTGAAGCAGATAGTAACTGCAGTGATTCTATCCTGAAGGACAAAGCTGTAAATGCTGCTTCAATTTTAAAGAAGTGTGGTGTTGACGTTTCAAAGACCGCAGCTCAAGTCTCTTCCAGACCCTCGAGCAGAACGACAAAGTTATCAAGCAATCTTTACATCCCAGTGAATTTCCACTGACAAAATAATCAAAAAGTGCACTCAAAGGGTCAAGCAAACTCACACATAACCATCGTATTTACATGTAAATAGTGGAGTCCTGGATGAAAGCGCGGTCTTGTTTCATTGAAGTACACCGTAGATGGCTGCATCTATATTTTAAGGAAAAAAAGCCCTGCCCCAATTTCTCCGTCTTCCTGGTGTTCCACTCTGTAAAATGATTGCACGATGACAATATTTAAAAAAAAAAAAAAGTGGCTGTTGCACCTCGGTTTCTCCATTTGGATTGAGACTTATTTTCTTTGTTTCCTTGGAAGCAAGCATCAGCAGTATAAAAAGCATGGTTATTTATTGTGACAGTGTCATGTTTCTTTGATTAAAAAAAAGTGGAAAAAAAATTAAACACAGCTTCTGTTGTCTCCTGCGTGACTAACCACCTCCAGCCTGAGAGCTACTAACAAAACAAACACGTTACACGGGTACATCTAAAAGAATTTATTTTCTGGAAAAAAATTAAATATGATCATGAATATGCATACTTTAACTACATAAAAAGTTGTTTAACACCATCTGCGAGGTTTCCACTCACTCAGAGATAAAACCAGGCTTCACCCAACAGAAAACTGACCAAAGTACAAAAAATATTTTATTGTAAAAGATCAACAAAAACCTGAACACATTCTTGTAATATATTGAAGATGCATTTCAGCAGTAAAAGCAAAAATGTTCTAAAACCAGTTTTGGAATCAAACTGGTCAGAACAGTGTCCAGAAATGTGTGAAAAAATCATTTGTCAAAGAAAATAAATTCAAGGCCTTAAAAAAGCATTAGAGCTGGTAGTAAGGAAGCCTCTAACAGTTTCTACCAGGCCTCGTAACGCTATAACCCAGCTAAAGCACTGAAGCTTACCAAAGGTTAGGATCCTAAACATATCAAAGTTTATAAAATTTTGGTGCTAGTATGTTGATTAAATGCAGTGATGCTCCTACATTGTAGCTGTATGCTGCAGTTTCGAACCCAATATTTGGAACTTTCTTTTGGGAACTTTTTTCAGTATTTACAAAAATGAACAGTGGCATGTCAAAGTTGAAAAAGAATGTGCTGCAAGAGACAGGAGGAAGAAGAGCTCAGTTTACCCAGGGAATTTAATTAGCAACAAATAAAACTTCAGTAAAATGTCCATTTCTTTTTAAAATGCTTCCAGAAGAGAAGCAAAAAAGGAATAAAAATAATATTGCTGGGTAATATCTACACACAGTGACTAAAGGGTGTTAAAAGTGGTGTGTACACATACGTGTACTGTATGTATACTTTATGTGTGTACTTCAGGAAAAGGTCCAAAGAGTCCAGGGAAAAGGAAAGCTTTTAAAAGACAGGAGCATGTGCGTCAGGTCGAGGAAAGTGGATGAGGCAGAGTGTGGCCTGTTCTCTACCTTCTCAACTTCACTGGTTTTCTCTTTACCTAGAAGACAAAATTTGACATGATCATCACCTCCATTATCTCTCCCAACATCCTGGGGATTTATGAAGCCAAGGGCATCATTCATTAATTGTTGAACAACAAAAATCAATTAAAGAACGATAGAAAATACTCTTCCACAAGGTGTTCGAGGATGGCTTTAAAACTACAAGACGGGCGAGACTGAGTTACTAATGAGATCTTAGTGTGTATTTCTATTATTCCTGCAGGTACATCAATATTGTGTTAAACTAAACTGGTTCAGGTTTCACAATAGGTAAACTGAGTAAATTGAAATTAGAGGATAATTAATTTACTTTTATAACATTTTCGTTCAGTAGTGAAGTAGTAGTGACTGAATTCCTGTGTTTGAGTTCCCAAAGCGACTCACTGCTGGTCTGTTGGACTTTCTTCCACAGGGGATTCTCCTTCGTATTCTGATCGTGGTCTCTCCCTGGCTGTTGGACTTAACTGCACTGTTGCTTTGTCTGTCCTTACTGTCACAGTTAGCACCCTCAGGGCTGGACTCCATCTCTGTGTCACCCTCACTGTCCAACAGGGGGACATCTGTCCCTACAGCTCTCCCTCTGTCCTCTCCTGGCTGCCTCTCTCTAACCTGTTCTCTGCTCACAAACAGACAACTATTGACAGAAATGTACAAAAGAAAAAAATCCTGCATAAACTACAGATTAGGAAATATGTGTTAGTAAAAGACAAACTCAAACTGTTGTTAAGGCTTCAGTCTTCACTAGTACAAAAGCACTGGAGTGCTTTTTTTTTTTTTACCTCTGTAGGTCGATCTGTCTCAATGTCCCTTCATCGTTCTGCTTTGACATCTTGCTGTTCACAGACTCTGCAGCAGTGTTAGAGTTGGCGTCAGCCGCCCGTTTCCTGCCTCTGCCAGCTCCGCCCACTGCTGGTGCTGTTGTTCCCCCCTTTTCAGCCGCTCCAGGAGTGGAGGCGGACTTTGGTGGACGACCACGTCGTTTTACGGGACATGCCTCAGGAGTCTTGTTTTGACTTGTCTCCTCCTGAAAGATGAAAATCAGTTTGGTTTGTCTGATGCTTCGCTTGTGACTTCAACAAAAAAGGCTGGGTAGCTGTAGCCTGAGCTCACCTTTGCTTCTCTCTTAATTGTAGGATTTTCGTTGTTTTCCTGTACTCGACTTTCTGAGGACTCGATGGTAGCGTTGCTGTTACTACAAGACATTTTATTAATAAAGATTGGTTATAAATTATCTTTTTTTTTTACATCAAATCTGTATTTTTTTTTCTGACTGAGACAGATGTTACCTGTTCTTGTTGATGGTCGTGGAGCTCAGTGGAGAGGTGATGTTTATGGTGCTGGTGTTACTGGTTGTGTCTGAAGCTGTGGTGGTCTTAACGTAGATCCGTCTCCCTGGTACTGTGAGGGGCTTGTTAACAGCTGCTAGAACCGGAGCTGGTTTAGGCTGTGAAAAGACGATAAATACTACAGTAAGACAATGATACAGGCAAAGTCAAAACACCAATTTATTACGAAGCTCTCATGTTGTGTTTGTGAGTGTAAAACTGAAAGGACGTAGAAACACAATCACATTCAATGGAGGAAATTTATGTATCAGCATTGTGAACTTAAAAACACCCAGGTCCAAAGACAAACTCAAACACTATAATTTGAATAATGAAAATTAAGTAAATTTCTTTGACAAGACAGAAGACCAGTTTTGGCAAAAACATTTTTGCCAATTTGCAAAGACAACAATCCACAAAAACTATAATCTGTTAACATACACTCTCCTGACCACACAGTGGTTATCACTGGTAATTACAACAGGTTGTTTCCTTACCTTCCCAGTGAGGAGCATCTGCCTCATATCTGCTGACAAATATTCTTTATCATTTTTAAAATCCTGTTGGGACAAATTTCAAAACAGATTACTCAGAAACACGGTCTTTCTCTTGCTTCTTTGACCCAGAATTTAAGCTTCAATATAATAGACGTTATTTAGTATAATAACAGTAAATGCATCTTCACATACAATGGTGTGTGTCTGCCTGTATTACCTTGTCTTGTGTGACAAAGAACTTGGAGGGCAGGAGAGGGTCATTAGGAGAGTCCAGGTGGCACGCAGTGCTCTTGTTGGCGATCACGAAGAGAGCGACATCACAGACGATATACAGCTTCTGTAACAACAACAACAAAGAGACTACTGTTAGAACAGTCTGACTTTTATTCTGAATCTTGTGTGTTCACTTGCACTCATGTTTCTACATTTACATCCTACATCATAAATAGTTTTAAGCATTTGTTTTTTGGTGTGACCTGTTTGTGGCAGTAAATAGAAGTATGTACCTCATTGGCCTTGGCGTCTTCAGGAGACTGTGCGTCTTTCGTCTGTTTAATGTTCTCCACCATTTTCCTTAGAAAAGCGTGGCTGTTGTTCTCATTCTTTGTCATCAATACCTCAAGCATGAACCACAGGCATCTGTATAACACACACAGCAGAATTATACTGTTTGCATATTTTTCTATATTATTGATACCATCATTTGGATTAATTACAAATTAAAACATGCATTTCTCAGAACTAGCTACATTTTTCACACCATTATGTTTATACTGTTATATAGTAAAATATTGTAAAACAAAAAGAAATCAGACCAAAAAAACTCACTCTTTGATGTCTTTAAGCTGTTCATATTCATGTGGTTTTGTAAAGTCTGGGTCGTGGGACAGCAGATGGATCATAAAAGGAACAACGTACTCAGGAAGAAGAGAGATGAGCTTTTCTGAGGGAGGAAGAATGAGACTTTGTTTAACATTTATAGTGAATTTATTTTCTCCAGTCCAGATGTTTGAGTTGGTACAATGTTAGAGTCAACAGCTTTCACTGACTAACCTTGGCTCAGTTGGTTCTGTTTGATGTACTCTCTGCGGACAGAGATGTTTTTGAGGAGGCACTGTCGGGCGTGTGCGCGCCGCTCCTTTACCGGGTCCTTGGCACACAGGGCGAAGACGGCCAAGTACTCCAGAGGCAGCAGCAGTTTGACAAGAGCCAGGTGCAATTTCTGAGCAAAGATCTGACGAACCTGGTAGCACTCATCCTGGTCATTGAATAAAAGAATTTAAAGTCACACAAATTACACAAATAGAACTGACTAATGTGAAGGTTATTTTTTTCTACAAAGTGCAACTGACATTGATTACAAGGGCGCAAAGCTGGAACTGTTCAGGTGTGATGATGTCATGGTAACAGGGCTCCTGGGCCAGCTTCATTATGGCACCACCTGCGGCCAGTCTCAGACGGGACATGTCTGATTTACTGCAGAGAGAAACAAAGATTAAGTGGAAGTACTTTTGAATGCACTTTCTAGTAATTCTATTGATGTGTATTATAATTGAACATTTCACATTCTTCTCGTAAACCTGGTTTGGTGGGTGGATGCACAGACAGTTTGTAAAAGTTTACTTTACAGTACATCTTCAAGTCAGTAATGAGTGTAATGTCCTCCAACCACCAAACATGTCCTTAACCTGTGTCAATCTGTCTTTATGCAATGTGAGATTATTACATTGTTATTGTAACACCCTCCACTGAACCCAACAGAGAGCTGTAACATCTGCACTACCTGATCTTCTTTTGCTCCGTGAGGTCGCCCTCGCTGACCAACATGGCCGACAGCAGGCGCAGGGTTGAGTTCGCCGACTTGGATTGATTGTTTTTCATTCCTAATAACCAACGCACCAGCAGCTTGATGGCCTGCACCTTTGGTCACAAAGTTAAAAAAGTGTTTTTTCAAAACCTGAATCAATCCCACTTTTATAAAGAAAGGCCTAGCAGTGTCACTCAAATCAACTAAACTAAATGTAAAGAACAATATTCCCAGATCTGTTGCCCTACCTTCGCTAGTACTTCAGGGGACACTTCCTCATCGGTCGTCCACAGCTTGCCATTTTTGTTTCCCACTGACTGTGGACAAAAATGTGTTAACATTTACACTAGTTGATGACAACAATCCTTCTTTCTGTTTAGCTCTAATACCGTTATCATTTTCAATTAAAATGCAAAAATTCACGAATTGTGACTATTAATATAAATGAGACTGTAGGTCAGTTTCAGTATGTAGTGTGATTTACACATACTCTGTCATTCATTAGCAGGTCTTTCACAATGAAGTTTGCCACGATGGACTTCATTGGTGAAGCAAACTGATCTGGGGCCAGCATAGAGATGTGGCCTAATGAGACCAGGGGAGTGATGAGCTGTTCTGGGACGTCTGCGTTCAGACTACGTGACAGAGGCTGAAAATGATGTAAAACACAGAGGATTGGACAGAAGATGTCAGTTCACAGAGTGGATAAAAACAAGAACAATATGTCCAGCTTAATATTTGATCATTGCATTTATTAAAGTCAAGCTTGGAAAGATATGCCACCTCAAATATCTGAGCCAGCTGAACTTCCTTGTTATTAAAGATGGCATGGATACAGTGGACGGCCTGTTTAGCCTGGTGAGGTGTTCCACGCTTCGCCTTCTGATGAAGGACTGGAATCAGTGTCCTAACAAAAAAAGAAAATATATTTTAAAAAATGCTGTATTTTTCACTTTTGGGAGTTTTGTATTTCACACAAACCAATGCTATCAACACATTATTATAACATTGAAAATTGATGACTTACGATTTTATCTGTTGTAGCTCTGTCTCAATCTTTTGCCCAGTGTTTCTAAAAATCTGGATGGCTGCCTCTGCCACTTTGTCATCCTCCATCTTCAAACACTGAAGCAGAGACTCGTATGTCTCTGAGGAGTGGAAGGCCGTGGGGTGTGTAAATGACAGGACCTGAAGTAGAGCAGACAATATTTACTTAAAAGATAAAGATTATCATCAGCATCAAACAACATTGAGTGATTTTTTTTGTTTACATCAGAATGATTAAAATCTCTACAGTCTGAATCTGAGACGGAAAACCTTTGTGCTTTTTCCATATCCTGTACCTTTAGCAGCTCCAGACCAGAGCGGATGGCTGTATCAGGGGTAACACCTTCATCGTCATCATCTGCTGTTCCCTCTATAGACTTATTAAGCAGCTTCACCAGAGCACTAGAGATAAAATGATAAACATTAACACAGAAAGCTAATTTCTTACACATTTTACTTTTGTCCTAGTGTTTTTCCATGAAGCATAAAGGGTTAAATCAGTGTCCTGGTTGGGGCCTGTAATTACATATCTCTACCACAAGGTGTCTCAGTGAATAGGAAAAGCCCTTCCCACGGTATTACACAATAGCAGCCTACGTAGGAGTACATGAGGTGGTGAACTGAAGACTGAGAAATAAAGAAACATTTATGTTGTTGCGTATTTGCTTCTGTTGTTGTGTTTGAATTGACACAAAATGTGGTATACAACGTTGTCCAAAATGGACTCAGTGTGGACCATGATGTATGTTAAAAATCTTTTAGACCTGATGGCTTCAGAGTCGATGTGAACAGGCGCGATGCGCTCCAGAAGGAACTTGACCATCTCCAGGAAGGGGTTGGTAGGTTGTTTTGGGAATGTGAGCTTCCGAGTGATCTCTCTCTACACAAGGCAAGGGGAACAGTTTATAAATTAATAATAATATTCATCACTGGTTCATTTGGTATCATTCTTTCTACAAACAAACTTCATGAGGTGATATGACTTTGAATTTTAACTGACTTTAGTATTCATGCTTTCTTAAGCATTAATCTTGTCCATGCCACGTTGTAATTTTGGTGTAAATGGGGTGTTTGAAATATTAAGACCTGTACAGTAAGTATGTGTTAGCAAGTGGCAGCTGATTACCCGGCTGTCTGTCTCTCTGTGAGTGACTATGTGTTAGGATTGATGCGTGTTCAGTGTTTTCTCACCACACAGATCTCAGCCTGTTTGCAGGAGCAGGTGGGGCTGATGAGCATCTCCAGCTGGACTCTGAGCTTTTCGTCTTCCCCAAGAACCTGGTTGAATTTCTTCATAAAATCTTGAGCCTTTCCTGCATCAGGCAGGTTCTCTAAAAACACCAGAACATGAAGGTTTACATGTTACTATCGAGAACCAAATCAACATTCCTCCCTTGGGTTCATTTCTGTGTTTCCAACTCACTGGCAATATTCATCAGCTTCCCCAACATGGCTGCATTATTGGCCTCAGACTGCAATAAGAATTAAAAAACAAGTCCAAGATATATTAGAATTCTGAAAGTGTGATGTTACATGCATGCATGTGTCTGTGGACAATTGCTCGCACCACTGGAAGCTTGTGAAGATCGAGGAGCTCTTTCACAAGGCCTCTGAGCATGTTCTGACACTTCCACATCTCATTTAGAGCTCTGAAAGAAGTGTCACATTATATTTAAATACTCTTCAAATGATGAAATAGTTAAACATGATTCAAATGTTAACAATAGGATAAATGGGGATGGGTTTCAAATAAGTGTAAATATTGTTGGTGTACTAACTTGACAGCATTTGTGTCCAAGCAGGCATAAAGATAGTAGAGACACTTCATCTTCTCCTCTGTGTCAAGACTGTGGGGGACCATGTACTGGGCAAAGATCTTCTCCACTAATAACCTGCAGGTAAAACAACAAGAACATCAAGTGTCAAAAACATGAAAAAAAGTCCGACTGTTGCCTGCAATGAAACAAGTCTGTGGATATTATGTTGGACATAGTCTGAACATATGTTCTTACTTGTCATCAATGCTGTTCTGATAATAAATGTGAAGCAGCTTGTCTTTGATCCAGCTGATTTTCTGAGCGTATTCCTTCCCTGCCTCATGATGGAGACAGTATTTCTTATAAAGCTGAGCCAGGCCCATCATGGCCTCCTTACGTACACGCCACTGTGGGAGAAGAGAAAACATAGGTTGGGTGAAGAAATGTTGTTTTTACCAATTACAAACCTCCTTGATGCCAAATAATTTCCAACAGTACAACAAACTCACCCTTTTATCCAAAGTCCTTTCTCGTACAAATCCCAGTAACTGGTCATTGACCAGGTTCAAATCTTTCTTTCCAGCGTTGATAATGGTGACAATTACATCATGACGGATGGCTTCTTCTGGGTCGTGGGAACGCACCTTTAAATACTCTGGGATAAGGAAGATGGACAAAGACAAATGGACATATTTTTCAGACAATATTTTCAGATAAATGTCTTGGTTTGGGTTTGATTTGTTTGTTTTATGACTAATAACTAATAAATGAGGAAACCTGTCAGGTCTTTCGCCAGGTCTGGGTGGTTCATCAGGCAGTGGCTGGCAAACTTTACACACTCTAACCTTACTGGAACATGGATGTCATTGAACCTAAAAAAAAAAGCAGATTAGGAAATTAAACTTCATGTGATCTTCAAAAAGATGTTTACTATATCAACAGGAATCTGTGTTTGCTTTCCAGTTTTTAATACACATACACCCAGTAAAATTACTGGGGTAATTTCTCAAAGAAAACCTTTTAGAGCAGACAGCATGCTTTATCCATTCACATCTAAATTATCCGGGTAAATTAATTTTTAACCTTCAGGATGCTTACCTTCCTAAAAAGCACTGCCACAGTGGTCTGTTCTGTGAAGCCAGCTCTGAGTCTTTGGCCCCAAACAACTTGGCTAACAAGCGTACAACAGCCAGACGCTCCTCGCCATCATTGCTCTGCAAATGGATGACGTTGTTCAAGGCTTAAGATAACAAACATAATTTTTAATGAAAACAGCAGAGTTAATTCACAAGGGTTTTTGCTCACTTTAAGTTTGAATTCCAGTTGTGGCATGACAGAGGTAAGCAGCATAGGGTCAATGGCAAACAGTTCCTGGATGAGGTCAAAGACATGCTCTGACAGGTCACTGACCGACGACTTGCCCATTACTAAAACCTGATTAAAGAACTAGAGACAGAAAGAAACATTAAGAGAATATAACTGACAAGAAGCAACTCTGGGGACAAAAAAGTCACGAAGTAAAATCTGACTTACATTTGCGATACATGTCTCTATTGTCTGGACAGTCCTTTTCAGCAAAGTTTTGGCGAGGTCGTACGCCTGCTTGTTCAAATTCTGTTCCAACAAAAGTTAGTGATATTTCATAATTCAAACACCATCTGACGCAGATATAGATCTTCAATTTAACAAAAAAAACCCCAAAAAAACCAAAAAAGAAACCTCCAGTACGTCTAGGAAATGCTTCAAGAAGGAAATAATTAGTCTATTCTTTGCATGTCATTACCTTGTGTGCAGGGATGAGGTTGATGAGAATAGTATCCAGCAGCTCTTGTGTCACTCCATCTCCCTCCATGATAATAGAACTCATCAAATCCATCATGTGCATCTGGACCTTTTGGTTGTGGCTGTTACTGAAAAAAAAAAAAACCAGCACAGTTTGAGACCTCATGTGTCATTCTAGCAGAGGATATAAACTAAATAAGAAAAAATAGTCTGAAACCACTAAATAGCCATTGTATATTTGAATTGAAAAAAAGAATTTAGTTCCACTTTGAGCAACTGCCTTATTCTATAATAATTATATTCACAGACACAAAAGGGTGATTTATGAGTTAATTATTAAATAAGTATTATTACTACTATATTATGTACTGATACAAACAAAGGTTTTTAAATGGGCATTCTTATTAGCATGATTCAGGTGTAAACAGTGGCTGTGTGAACCTTATTTAGTCATATACACTGATGAAACATAATAGCTTAGAGAAAAATAATTGAAGTGATAAAATCAACCTCTTCACCGCATCAGCAAACATTCATACACTTGAAAATACCAGTGCACATGAACAGACACACTCAGGTTGAAAGAGTACACATTTCTACATGGTAAATACTGTAGTTTTTCTGTGAGTCCCAGTGAGTCAGCTGTTGGTGGACATTGTTTTTGAGGAATTACAAAGTTTGTGCAGCTTTGTGCAAAACCACCTGGTAACAGAGGGAGCTGGGCTGACTGATCTCACGGGGACGCTCAACTAAACACATTTAGCTTTGTGTAGCTGTTTTCTAACATTAGCCAAACTGCAGGAACATGGCCTGCAGCATGAGTTAACTTCTCGGTCCCTTCATTCCAACATCCTTCTGTGATTAAACTTACTTGATAACAGAGAACAGTGTTTTGAACAGCTGGATGAAGATCTCATTGCAATCTTCCAGTTCAAAACATATGTTGTATGACTTTACCCAGGCCAGGTTCTGTGCACACAATAACATACAATAATAAGTCAGAGATCACGGAGACACAGGTAGAACTACTTAATGAACATTTATGTAAAAAAAAAACCCTACTAAACTAAAATAAACGCATTCAAAAAGCTACACTAGAGACAATGTCCAGAAGTAAACTGTTGCATCTGAACAGAATATTTTACGTAAATATGTAAAAAATATAGGACTGAGGACAAAAATTATTTACATGCTCTGATATTTGACAAAATAAATACATTTTATGCATACAACACATTTATGCTTGAACAAAACACATATTTAAATAGGTCTACATAACTTATGTCTTCTCAAAGCACACAGTCCATGCATCATAATCATTATTCTCTTAGAATTAGTCAATTAGAAAAAACAAACTCACTTCCAGAAGGTAGAAATATCTGTTGAACTGGGGACTCTTGGTGTCTTCTAGACCCTTCAGCTGTCTGGTGATGAACAGGAAGATGTCCTAACAAAGAAAAGGGCAACTTCTGGTTTTTAGTCTTAACAATGACAAATGTTTTTCTGCAAAGACTTTTTCTAATTTAAATGGCTTTTCATACAGCCTCAGCTCAAGATGCAGTTTGTGCAACTACAGCTACATCTGAAGTCACACTTCACTGGAGAATTTAGCTTCACCATTAGCCATTGGATTCAGGGGCATTATATTTATCTCGAGACTTTTAACCTTCGAAATCCAGTGAGTTGCACACTTCCTCACCTTGAGTTTGTCATGGGATGTGTAAGGGGCCTCTGGAGCGTAGATCCTGAAGATGTCGGCAAGACAGCAGGCCACTAGTAGCCGTACATCCTTGTTTGGATTCCTGAGGAAGAATTCTGAGGCAAGGTGAAGTGCTAGGCTGAGATACTGCTGCTTCTCCTCTTCTGAGTCTTGATCCATGTCCATGTAGGTCTTCACCACCACCTGGAGAACATGAACAGCAGCAGAAGGTGAGATAAAGGGAGAGCACAACGAGAAAATTTCAAACACATGTCTGAACATAAAATTGATGCCTTTTCAAGTGTGTGTTAAGAAATTATTTAAACTTGTAATAGTAAAGATTTCAAACATTTTCAGCAAAAAGGCCCAAACCATTAGCAACTGATACAAGATAGAAATGGCCGGCTTCCTATAAAAGGTGAAAAAAAGCAAAGCACTAAAGTTTTCAACTATAACTATATTAGGCACATTTGTGTATTTATAGTGTGTATCTGAATTTCAAAGCCAGGGGAAACCCTGATTTTCCACCAACCATTTACATTGAACTTCACATGAACATTCAATATGGAGTTGCCCATTAAGCTCGTAATTCATCTGTATATTTATGGAAAGTAGGGAACCAGAGTACATAGAGAAAACACAAAGGTCATTGTTAATCAGTTTAAACATTGGCAGCTAGTGTGTATTCATTCAGATTATAACAGATCAGGTTAATTTTAATTATTCTTAGTTTTTCATAAATGGATTCTACAACGTTGCTTTGTTTTGCTCTCTGTAAAATGACATAGTGGAAATCTGTCTTGTGTTTTGTGTCTGTGCACTTTCTGTTTTTCATGACTATCTCATTGCAGCTGCTTCCTGCTGTTGGGCTTAAAGTCTTTAATATGGAGTTCTATGAAAAAAAAGAGAGCGAAACAGTGAAAAAGACTCTTACCAAATGAATAATAAAGCCTAATAGTGGAACTTGATTTGCAGTGTTTTGCTTTTTTGTTTTAAATCTATTTAAATGTGAATGTTGTCTTTATAATAATGAAAATGTCAGTCAATCGCTACAACAAATCAGGATAATTCTAGATTAGTCTACAGGACCAATAAATAATCAGTCTACCGTATGAGTAGAGTATTCAGTTCTACTTTAATGAAGGGTAAAAGCCTTCAAAAATGATAAAACTGTCTCTCACTGCAATCAAATTTCATTCAGAGCTTCAAATGTCGCCCTCAATCTTACAGACAGTTTTGATTATCTTCACCCCAATTTAGACCTGACAAGCAGTATGACCACACCAATGCACAATTCTATCTTTTAAGCCTCTTATATCTTGAGAGAAGTGGGATTACAAATGGGAGCAGAGGAGCTAAACTCTTTATCTGAAATGTTCACACAGCCAGAGAAATACTGTAGAACACAGTACAACTAAGGCTGGTTTAAGCAGGCAGCTGGGGTGGGGGATGGGCCAACCATTCAAACAGCAGAGCAGCACAGTCATGCCGACACACTCAGACAAACAGCACTGCTGGTCTAACCAGAGAAAGTCAGAACACTCAGCTGTATGTGTGTAGGCGGACTTGTTGTCCTCTTAACCCAAATTCTTTCACTGCATGGGAAACACTTTTCACGCATCGTGTAGAATTACATTTTCAATCTGAATGTAAGTATGACATGAATGCACACAGCTGCCGTGTCACACGATAGTCTGTAAGTTGACAGTAATTTCCTGAACATGAAATCCAAAAAGTTCCATTTTGATTGAGACAGCGATGCAAATGCAATCCGTCTGTTTGTAATGGTTGTATAAACTCCAAGGCAGATTCAGTACAATTTAAGCTGTGTTTCTATCTTATCAGTGCAAACGCCACAATAAACCAAACTACTTCAGTCAAAAACGTATTTTTTGATTAGATTTGTACATTCTATTTAAATGTTTTACCAAAAAAAAAACACTTTTTACCAAAAAAAAAAAACCCACAAAAACACACGATGCCAACACTGTATTTGGAGTGAAGCTGCAAGTGACAGCACAGCTGAGGTAACAGAGAGAGACACATCCACTGTTCACCAATGTTTTGGTTTCTGTAATGTGACATGAACAAACGAACAACAATGACAATAACTATATTAGATATAATTTTCATAATTACAACTGCTAACGTTAACTTAATCATATGTTCACAAACATGGTGCTCATTTTCTATATAGTAATATACACACAGAGAGATGTGTGAATTATCTTTATCAAAATTACAAATTGCTAAGCTCTGACTCAGGCCAGATGACTAAAAATGTTTTGTATCTTTGTGCTACATCTCTGAACTAAGCTCAGCTCTGTTTGTCTATGCAGGGAAAAATTGACGTGTTTATAAGTCTGTAATGCAGAAAACTATGTTGAATATATCCCTCTAAAGAAAAAAAAAGATGGATTCCAATGTTAGAATGAAACAGTACTGAACTGTGTACTGTGGTTTTACTCTGGGCAAAAGCTTCAATAGAAACTAAAGAGAAATGCATCAAGAACCGCTGAGCTGAGGTGTTGTGTGGCACAGTTACAGGCTGTGGGAGGAAATGCTCAATAAAGACCTAGAGAGAGTTGACACCTGAATGTCTTTTCACTTAATGCGTGATCACAAGTAGACATTATGGCAATTACACCTACAATTAAATACATTGTTTAGCCAAAATATGTCATGTAAAATGTAAAATAATGCAACATTGTAAGACTGAGCTCAAGGTCCTGCCAGATGCTAAACTGCTTTCAGCTGCTGTTTCTATTCGTCCCAAGACACAGGCTCATGTGTGGATTGTGCCTTTGGCTTTTGAAACACACACACACACACACAATGGACAAAAGCTAGAAAACAGAAAATGATGGAAGCAGAGAGCTGGTAGGCAGATGCCTGTCAGTGTTAACAACTCTCTTAAGCTCTACTGAACTGCTTGGACAGTGCTGCTCTAATCTTTCACACTTGTTTGCCATAGAGGTTGATAAAACCACACCATTTTTACAAATGGCAACTAAAAAAGAAAAAGCTAAGAAAACATTGTTCAATTAATTATTAATAAATAGCATCAGTCATGACCTAACATGGTTTACCATAATGGCCAGTGCATAAATATATTTGTGCTTGTTCATAAATGTTAGTTGGTTATTCATTAACGTCCACAGTATGACACTTCCATACGAAATAAAATATTTAAAATATCGGTAATAGTATTCACCTAAATGTAACTAAATGTCCAATAACCAATTTCAACCATATAGTATTGACAAATAATGCTATTGTAAATTACTAACAAAGGGTACATGACCTCCACCGCCGGATTCCACAATGGCTGGTGCATTATATATTAAAAGTGTATTTGAGCACCATTTGTTAAATTCTAAAGACAGAAACACCCTGCACCAATCTGCAGTCTGACAACATTGCGTAAATGCTCACTGATATGACATTTACTCCACACAAGCATCTGTGGGCTAAAGAGCTGCACTGAGCATTGAAATACGCCTTATTCTGAGAGCACACATTAATACAGTTGTTCAGCTGGCATACAGTACAGATATATCCATGGAAAAGCACAGATATACTCCTTTCACAACAGAGCAGTAATGTGCCACTGGTGCCCGAAGAATGTTTCTGGCCTAATGGGCAATAACATGCAGAAACATGTAACATTTGGATTCCTTCTTAGTTTAATTGTTATCCTTTGCTTTTTGTTGTAGCTGATAATGCGTTCTGAGAAATTCCATCAAATATAGTGTTATTACACATCTAACTACAGTAGATTACAGATGTGTATTAACATTATGTGGTTAGTGTCAGATAAATGCAACACTGTTTTTATGTGATTATTAGAACTCCACACTTTTTATGTTTCATTTGGTTAACACAAATGTAGTGCACCCTGCTCTTTCATGCATTTTACTCAAACTGCTGCTACTCCTGCAGTGGGAAGCTCCAACTAAGTGCTTCACAACACACAAATGTCATCAAAATTATATTACTGACTGACTGAAAGATACATGGGAATACTGAGAAAGAGAAGCAACTGGGGATTGACACAGAGTTGGATTGGCTTCACTTAGCACAGCAGCATTGTTTATATTATTTTTTATGCAAATGTCATATCATTTCAACAGGATCTTAAATGTCTGCTTCAGAGGCGCTAATAACCACAGACAACATGTGCATCATGTGTTACTAATAAAGCAACACGTGATGCACATGTTGTAGCCAAGCTTCTTAAGGAATTTCAGAAATTATAAATATTTTTGAAGTGTTTGACAATAAGTGACAACAGTAACAGCAGGCATAAATCAAAGACACCCAAAAAATACCTTTAATCGTTTGACCAGTTCATCGTTGCTTATTTTGTCTGTGATCTCTTTTACTCCGGGAGGGTACACGACCTCCACCGCCGGCTTCTGCTGTTGCGGGAACTCCATGCTTGTTGGTGTACAGTCCTCACGGTCTTCTACTGGCCTCTATGGGTCAGAAAACAAAAGTTCAACACAACCATGCTACCGCACTTAGCAAAAACATTGCAATAAACGGCATTCTCATTTGCCAAGCATTCGTTTAAAACGCTAAAATATGCAAAACCGCGCGTCAGTAGCAAACAAAATAATAATGAAGAAAACTTTTCAAAAGAAAGCCAACATTAAGCCAGCTATGTACATATCATTAGCCTGTATGCTAAAGTCCATCAGCACCATGTTATCCGTACATTTTAAAAATCAGAAACAATATAGGCGCTTTGACACAAATACAGATATTCTACCTTAGTGTGTATTTAGGTTACTTGAAACCTACTTCAAACTAAGACTATATGTGCTATAATTTCCCTGTTGTCATCAAGAATATCACACTAGCTAGTTGTTGCAAAGCAAACATTGGTGGCTAACGGTTAGCATTTTGCGGGAAGTCATGTTAGCCGTCCGAGCTAACACATTAGCCTAGGCCTCAAACTCCTCTGGTCTCCATCACATCTTAAGCTCTCCACAATCACTGAGGAAGTCAAGTGCCCAACGTTATCTACCCAAAACAGTCAGGCTTCTGGCCACTTCCAGAGCTTCTCTATAAATGCGACTACTTTGACACGTTAAAGGTGAACGGTTTTTTACTTGTTAGTGTCTTTTTCAACTTCAGCGCATCACTCTGTTCGGCCGCTAGTTCACACAGGCGGAGAAGCTTCTGCTGCTTCTGCTACCGTCGCCTCAACCCTCCTCTCACAACCACAACTTACCCCCACGGAGGATTCAGAACACTCTAGCGAATACAAAATTGACCCTTTTTCCGATCTACAGCTACCACTCGTACAACCCCACAAATGAATACTAAGTCTTTCTCGTTGCTATTTACCTCTCAAGCGGCTCGTTTTTATTCATTAGTCACAGGTTAGGGTAGTTTTCGGCACAAAGCTCTCTGTCCGTTCAGTCAGTATTGGCGGTGACAAACCTGTGTGCACAGCGCCCTCATCAGTACCATTGGAGCACTGCACACAAAAATTTCAGGCGGGAGGAACAGGCAGCTTCCTTTATCTTATTCCTTCACCAGGATGTTGTTGTTCATGTGTCTTAAATCTTCCTTACGTGTTATTTATGTGGTCATAAGATTTATAAATGAACATTAAAATGATACGATTGAATCGTATTTGCATAGAAAATATGCAGCACTTTAAAATCTCTCTTATATTCTCAATGTTAAGAACATAATTTCTTTTTCCTGCAACAGATAATTACTTCAATGTTCTTAACCTCCTTAACTATCTCCTTTACAATCAAAATGAAGGAGTCTTGGAAGATGTGGTAAAACATTCACAATATCTCTTTAGATCACATTAAGATTCAAAGGGTTTAAACCAGATGCACAGAAAACCTTTTGATGTTTAGAAAGCAGTAGGTAGTCACAAACAATATTAAATGTGATTGAATCTAGCTTAATTTTTTATTTACCTGGCATTTTGTTCACTGATTTAAACTTTTAATTTTACAAAACTATTTTTGTTATTATTAAATTTCATGATTTTATCTCATCTGTCTATGAACACACACGCACACACATCATATAACAAGGAAAAGACAATAAAACATGATTAATAGAACAGTTTATAACTGGCCCTTTAAAAGGTGTCTGATGCCAATCAAATTTCTATCGAACATTTCATTTATATTATTTTAATAAACATTTAATTTGTAACATTTACCTCTGTTTAATCTTTACAATATTTTACATTTAATTAAGAATGG